TCTTTCTATGTAATTTAATCATATGGTGTTATCGATTTTTGTTCTTTAATGAACTAAGCAACATTTAAAAATCCAAACCAATATTAGACAAACGTGAAGACTTGAAAAACTATTTTTTTAATGGACACTGCGTAAAATTGTTATTATTAACAAGAACGAACTGCCGCAGCGCGGCGCGCCGCCGACATCGTGATTTCAACAAAATTACCCAAGTCTCGGTGCAATCAGCGAAGTGAATATGCGTTTATATGTACGCAAAGGGTCAGTAGAATGGCGGCCAAAGGGTTGCTTAGGCACAACGACCCGACGGCGCGGCGCAACGTACGACCGTGCCGCAAAATGCAGAGTTAAAATATGCAGGAAACGTACGTGAGGGCGAATCTCGTTACTCCATTATCACCGGATTACTGCACCTGCAGCTCATCCCAGACCACACCGCGGTAATCCATTCCAGTTGCTTTTGCGAGAAAGAGAATGTGTGTGAGAGAGAGGGGGGGGGGGGGAAGAGAGAGAGAGAGAAAAAGAGAGAGCGGGGATGGCCCGGTAACAAAGTATCGTTCGTTCCAAGTAATCACACGTACGTGTTGCGTCGCAATTGCGTCGATACGCGACCGTTTTCTCGAATACGACGTGAGTTTGATATAAAGGGGGATGAACTCGATGAAGGAACAACAGGGAGTAAAGGAAAACTCCGTAGCGGTAAGCTCTATACTCGCAGCGCGCGTCCAAACTCACTTTTGCTATATTTATGGGATAACTTAGTCTCTCTCGTTTTCTCTCCCTCTCTCCCTTTGTCTCTCTGTCTCTCTGTCTCTCTCTCTCTCTCCGAGCTATTCAACTCGCATTTCGCAAGTGTCAACCGCCAAGCCCCGCTGCTCGCGTTCAACTCGCTCGATGCTTTCCCGAGAGCGCTCTCATGTGCGCCGTAACGCGTAATCAATTGCGGGATCAGTCTGTCCTGGTCATGGGCGCTACATCGTATAAGCATCAAGATCTACGATAATAGGGAGCTTTCCCCCCCGGAACGATTGCCGATAGACGGGCGAGGGAAGTGTAAGTAATATCGTCCATAAAGGTTGCCACAGTGCGGAATGCGGTTGTGCAACGATTCCGCCATTCAGCCCGGGAGTATATATCGAGTCTTACACTCTCGTTGAGGTAGGACAAACTACCGGGTAAGAGGATACCGATGGTCCGGATAGCGGTCCGCTCGTTTCTCCGAGCAAGAGACGCGGAAAAGATTATCGTAGACTCCAGCCGTACTAGCCAGCGATCCGCAATGTCGACCGATGTCGTTGTCACGGTTCGACACGAGAATTTCCGGTCCTAGCTTCGGGAAAACGGTTTCTATACGGAACGGCGGAGCACAGCGCAAATGACGCGTCATATTTTTCCGGCACGAGAGACCGATCCCTGGCGAAGGGCGGCATTCTGACGCGGTTATAAATAAGCGTACTCGAAATAGGTCAGCATTGCGCCGTCGTTTACAATCGTTGCGCGCGATTCAACTCTTTGTAGCGGTAGATTGAGCAAATGTCAAATTTGTCAATACGTATTGTGTATTCCAAGAAAATTGTGAGATCGTCTAGGAAATTATGGACTCTGCGCTCAGCAACATTTGTTACGTTATTCTTGGACACAAAAATATGGTATAGATTTCTCGTACTCAATCAGTAAATACAAGCATAAAGAGATTAGTATATGATATGTAATAAGTAGGTATCAATTAACTGATCTAGTCAACTAGTTAGAGTGTCTAATAATTTTAAATAAAATATATAAAGTCGAAGAATTACTTCTTCAACTGTAATTGCAATGAAGTATAAAGTAAGAAATAAAATAAATATAATTAGTTAAATTAATGTCGTAGTTGTGTTACTGACCGTAACAAATTTTGCTCTGGCCAGTGATAGGACGACGTCATCTTTCATTATGTCGCTGCGCGGGAAAGAAAAGTTTTTTTTTTTAAGAACTCGTCCGGCCTCTCCGGAAGGGACGATCGGATTGAGGAACGGGGAGAGAAAAGACGTTATCATTAAGATTGCGACAAGACGATGCCGCGGCTCTCGAAGCCGTCGAGTCGGAGTCGACGGTGGTTTTACTACTTGCACAGAGTTCTGAGATTTACATGACGTGCCCGCGCAAGAAGCGCGCCATAAAGCACGTCTGGAGCACGAAAAAAACGTGATTAATTGAGTCTTCGAACTTTCTTGACGTAACTCGTGGAACGCGCCCGTCGTTTCTTACGGTGCTTGCAGCGTCCACTTTGTCTTTAACCGGCGAAGCGCAAAAATTATGGCTCGGCCTGTGGAACACCGTAATTTCTCTTTCTCTCTCTCTCTTTCTCTTTTTTAAATATCTTTTTAGACATCACATCTCAGTTTTATATGAATCATAATTGTAAAACTTTAAAACGCAAAAATGATAAAAATATATTTCATAATTTGCTTTCATATAATTCTTCAAAAGATATCTAACGGAAAGAACATTATGTATTTAACGTGTCGTATTATCGCGTTTATTTTATTGCCGCGTGAAATTTCCGCGAAATATTTTCTTAAGGTTTAGCTACGGGATAATCGTGATTTCAGAGACGATTTTGAGTCGTTCCGTTATTAAGTGAACGGTTATCTTTCACCGACTGGCAGCAGGATAGTGCGGTAGCATTCGAGATTATGTAATGTTCCCATAACAACGCGAACGTTCCTCTCGCCGAGAAATCCCGCTCGCTCTGAGAACAAAGCTTAAGCATCGTCCGACTACGTGCCGCGATTAAAATGTCACTTTTGAGCTAGCCGTCGTTGTTCTGCATTATTAACCACGCGCGAGTCGCTTTTATCACTGTTCCGTTCTAATGCGTGTCGAGAACACTTTCGGCTGATATTTATCACGGCTAATTTACAGACAATATTCTACGCGCGGATTAATCTTCGGTGCTTCCTGGTCCACTTATCAAAATTATAACGGTTGCTTTCATTATTCACGAAGATAATAATCGTTTGATCGGCCGTAATTAGACGCTGCACGCGGTTAATAGAGGCGTTGTGCGATACATTCTCGGAGAACAGCCGTGAAATACTGTTTTCTATGTTTTTTATATTATCTAACATCTTTTAAAGCTGCGAGAAATCGAATGTGGAAGCGCGAAGAATTATTGTCGTAATGACAGAAATACGTTGCGTGATTTAAAAATGTATGGTGGCGTTACTTTTTGTTAGAAAAGATTTTCTGAATTTCGAGCTTAATTGTCACGTATACAAATGTAGATAGAACGTAGACACACGATGTAATCTACCGAAAAATTATGTCAATGCATCTGATATGATCGTTTTCAAGTAGAAAGTTGATCTTATTCTGCAATTTTCGCTGCAACCTGCATACTGCACGTGCATTGTAGACTAAGCCGTAACAGTTACGGCGAGTCGCCCTTATTTTTAGCTCCGCGCGCCTCTCTATACAAAGTTTGATAACAGAAATATAATTATCGGATGACCACAAAGTGCAGGAGACCTACATTAAAGCTCAGAAGCTTGTATAATAGGATTTGCAGACGCGCGAACTTTATCCAATATGCAGCTTTTGTTGCAAACAAATGCTCGCTTTTCACGAACAGTTGACGTAAAAGTCTTATATTTTGTTTAAATTGTTATTTCCTCTAAAATGTTCGTTAGTTTCTTCGAAATTTCAATTCTTTTAATACGCTGAATTTTCATTTATTAAGAAAGATTCTTAGGGTCTTCAGTTTGTTTTGAGATTTGTAAAAATTATACTTTTAATTTCTTCAGATAAATTATAATGAAAAGCAATATTCTGTCTCGTCAGTTTAGATTTTCGGGCGCTAATACTTTCTTAGTTTCATTAGATAAAAGAATATCCAGTTCTTATCTCTGATATTTATACAGCGTGTATATACACCACGATGTTACGTACACTGCAATACCTAAAATTATGAATTATTTCCCCGATCGACAATCTATATGTCAAAGAGTCCTCCCCGTTCCGACTCGGTGGAGGTCAGTCGCGGAGATAATGTCGTCACATGCGCACGGCGCGACGAGACGTCGGATGAAAAATTCACGAATTGGCGCGGAACCGGGCGCTGCGCGGCGCGGCGCGAAGTGGATCGACACACATGGCACAGCAGAATTCAGCAATAGCCGGCGTGCCGAACTAATAAGAATGCCACGGCCGGCCCCGACCGAAAATAGTGCAACAAGTGCGGTCGCAGTAGCGACAGCTGCGACGGTGCGGCCGTGGCACTGCGAATATCGTATTAGCTCGTATTACTTCGGCGAGTAAGTATATTTCTCTCGCGAGCACTGTTTCTTCAGTCTCGCGCAATAATATAAACGCCCTGACGTCTACCTGTATCGTTTATTTGACGGATTTTCATATCGCGCCCGCCGTAAGTTCACCGTCACATTCCGTGTTAATTCCGCGCGAAATTTTTCAGCTCGCACACCGACAGCGCGGAACAGCCAGATGATTCAATTTTGGTTTAGATTTAGTGTGAAGATTATTCCTGTGTTTCCTACGGAATTTAGGAGCATCGACGAATTGAAATAACATGGAATTGTTAATTAAGAATCTTGAAGAACAAGAAATAAGGAAGTTATTCTTATCTTCCTAAGAGTTTAAAAAAGTAAATTTTTTTATTATATCTGTATTAAATTAAATAAAGAGCAAAGGGATTTGATATTTCATGAATTATTTTGCGAAAAGTATTTCATTGTCGGTCGCATAGATATAGGTCAGGAAGGAAGTTCGATTTTCATGCTTTTATTAAGTTAGAGAGTTATTTCTTCTCTTTTAAAAAATTAAAAAGAGTATTGATATATTAACTGTTGTTCGATGATTAATTAAAAAATATGATAGTGATACGTCCCGAGAAGCTTATTTCGAAATATTTATACGAATTTTTATAAAATAAAGAGAGAAAGAGAAAAAAGAGAGGAGAAAAAATGATCAACTTAATTTCTAGAAGAATTTATAGCAGAAAAATGGTTGCGGCGATAGATGGTACAGCTGTTTCGCGTTCAATGTACGCATCGAAGCGTACATCGCTTTGTCAAATTTTCACACAATAACATTTGAAGCGTCGCTTCGCTTTATTCGGACTTTCGGAGTATCGATTGGTACCGTTTCTATTAACTTTACATATGGCAGGAAGCTTTTAACTTTCTGCTGTGACGTTGTAGATTCGAGTTGCAGCGCTTCTTCTCCGTCATGAAAACGCAAGTCTTGCGAAATACGGGAGAATTTAGAAAACGATTTTATCTAGAGCGGAATTACACCATTGAGCATAAGTTTAACTCTCGTTATACGGAACGATATTAATATGAAATATTTTTTGTCGAACAAGCATTCATTTCGCAGATAATCGCGCGAAGAGATTAAAATGTGAAGCTAACATGTGCCTCGTTTATATGAGTGCACTATATCGCGCCATACAAATATGTACGACATGCGTGATGTTATAAATCGGCAAATATAAAAATTGTATTTAACAATGGAAGAACACGTTATTCAAGGCTCGAATGTTTTGGCGATATTTTATCTTTTAGACTGTTGTTTAATGGACAAAATATATTTACAAGAATTATGGATTTTGTTTTTCAGTGCCGATGGTAATTACGAGGTGACCATCATGACTAAAGCGATTTTGCATCACACCGGGAAAGTCGTGTGGAAACCACCGGCGATCTATAAATCATTTTGCGAGATCGACGTGGAATACTTCCCCTTCGACGAGCAGACTTGTTTTATGAAATTTGGTTCGTGGACTTACGATGGTTATACGGTAAGTATTACGATTGGACTTCATTAATTAGTATGACTGTGAATTTTTATTTTATGTAGAGATCATAAATTTATGCCTGTCAAATATTCGTATTAAAATTTTATTCCCTAAGTTATACCACGAGTATAAATATGGATATAATCATAAAAAAACTTTGGAACTCGCAATCTCTAACGTATAACATGAGATAGGGTAGTTTAAGTGGAATATTTTATGATAATTTATCTTGAGTTCAAATATAAATGAATGTCATGTACATATTTTTCTCAAAAGTAAAAGAGATGCTTTTTTCACGGTATTTTCCAATTATAAAAATTCACCTGTTATGAAATATATTTTACAGCTTTTGGATATACAAAGCAGAAGTAATTTAAATAATGTTATGTACACGTTCATCGTTTGCATTAAATTACACTCATATTCACATGTTATGCATGGAAAGGCAGATTTTATATATTTTTATTACTAAATCATAAATGTTATATATAAAGTTTTATACGCGTTTATAAAATTATACATGCATTCCAAAAGTATTACTATTAACGTATTAATATAATTTGTTATTATAGGTACATATGTATAACAAATTTTTTTTCATAATGTTGAAGAACTGAAGGATTTTTAACTAAAACAATCAAATTGTCGATCAATTTAGACGCAAGTATCTAAATAGTATCTATAAGAAATGTTTAAAGGCCGACTTCTTCAGCATCGGCTAACTTTGCCCGTAAATTAGCTCACCTTATCTCTCTGTTTACGTTCTAGTCTTATTACGCTCTAGAGAGAAACAGAAAAGCTGTAATCTCTCGGATAACTTTATCCGACAGCTAATTAGAAGTAGAAAAATCGCGCATTAGTGCGGCAAATTGAATACTTTAAAAACTGCAACGCTTCGTATCCCTCAAACCACTAATTGCACATTATCTTAATTGTGCAATTCCGCCAAATCATCTTTATCTGACCATAGAATAATACTATTAGTTCAATTAGTGCAATTCCGCCAAATCATCTTTATCTGACCATAGAATAATACTATTAGTTCATCTTATAAGAAAGACGAATATTTTTTCTTTATTTAACAAATAAATTAAATACACTATAGAATAAATTTTAATCAATTATATATTTATTTTTATTTTGTTCTTTTTCTTCAGCTTTCAATTAATTTTTTCTCCTTATATTACTGCAGTATAGTACGTAGGAAAATTATTCTTTATAACTCTATAAAGTATTTAAAAATTACCGCATTACTTAAGGGATCGTATTTCCGATTTGTGCAATAAGAGCCGGATTTTTTGCAACGGTATTCTTTTCCACGAGTTTTAATTTTAGCAGGAACTAAGTATATGTGTGGTGTGTAAGAGAGAAAGAGAGAAAGAGAGAGAAAGCAGTTGAAGCGTCGATAAAACGTCACAATTCGGTGATTACAACTCGCGGCGCCTGTTTGTCTCGTCCATCGTGTTTTCCTTCGCGCTCGGTCCGACAGGCGGGAGACTCCACTCGCGCCTGACGGATATATCCGTCACTGACAAATCCGCCTGTCTGCGAGAGTTTTACCGCTGTACAGCGGCACAGACGTGGATATAAATCCCACGTCTGTGCGAGGATAAGCCATTTCGACAGAGAAGCTCGTCCGCTAGCCACTTCGAAAACACACCAGTGCCGCCAGTGATCAACCCTACATCCACCTGCGCGGCGGATAGCTTCCGTTTCCGCGCTTCGGTTTCAATTTCCTCTTATCGGCATGTCTTGCGTGCGTATCGGGCGTATTTTCCACTGCGAAAAAGATGTCGGGGTTATCAAGGAATAGAACGGTTGAAATTTAAGAGGCCACGATTTACGTCAGACAGCGAAAAATAGTCGATACCGTTTGATCGATATTCCCGTCAATTTTGCGCGTCGATTTAAATGGTTACATATCACTCACGGTGCCAATAAATCAACATAATAATTCGTCGCTAATATGCTTTTATTATGAAGCGATATAAATCAGTATTACATTCAACGCTACGTTAAAATATAATATAAAAATCCAATTTTAAATTCTTTAGAGATAAATATTTCAATAGAAAATATAACACGGTAGCTTTTTAAAATGAAACTTATTAATTTGTTTTTATTCAAGGATTGTTATACAATTTTTAGAAAAATAATGACGATAATGGCTTATGTAATCGGTTCATAACTTTATTCCACTCTATAAAACTGGAATGTTTAACGACGTTGGAAAAAGTTGAAATAGGTCATTACACATTGATTTCTTCTGTAACTGAAATTAAAAAGGGAAAACCTTGATTCCCTTTCGAAGGAGGATTGGAATTGAAAAATCAGGAAACGAATCCGATTAAAGCAGCGCGATGAGAAAATGCGCGCGAAAGGCGCAGTGAACGAACAACGATTGCTCATGGAACTATCGACAGATCTCGAAAGTGGTCCAGGGAGGATCATCCAGCGAAACTCCAATGACGGTCGCGATTTGGCTCCCCAAACCTTATTCGGATTTCGCAGGACTTTGAGATAACCAAAACCTCTATCTCGTGCGGCCATTAGAGGTATCCAATTTCTTCCGTTCCTTTCGCTCTCTTCCTTTCCGCGTCTCTGCTTTTTCTGTCTTTTTTTTTTAAATAATAGCGTATCTTGAGAATCGACTGTGCATGAAATGGATTTGGATGGCGACACTGACACTGCATAGCGGATCAAGAAAATCTCCCGTAACACATAGGTACACAAGAGTGTTTTATAGTCGGTTAGTTATAGGATTTCTGTAATTGAATCTGAATCGAGTTTCTTTCAACAACTTTTGGATATTTTATAACATCAGACTACAAATTTTTATTAAATATGTGATGAGCAACCAAAACGCGGGTTAAAATCTTGTTAGAATAAAATTCACTTGGAATCAAATGAAAAACAAAATTTGCATCGTCGAAATTCAATTCAAAGTTCTTAATTTATTTTGAGATGCTCGATATCCTTCGAGCTTATAATAATTTTACTAGAAAATTGTTAGTGTCTTGAGTTAGTACGGTAAGCGGCTAAAATAAATTCTCCGATTTAACTCCTAGCATTTGTACATGAGAGAAAATGCGCGATGTTCCAACATCCTGTATTGCTTTAGAGTGCGAGTGGATATATGTCCACGGCACACCCTTGAAAGTCAACCGCGAGATGTTATTTATCGCGAGGGTCTGTATCAGAAATGTCTTTGTGCAGAAGTCGTGGAACCCATAAATCCTAAGGCGCAGCCAGTTAAGCCACAATGACTCTTTCGAGCTATTGTCTTCTTCAGATTCGAACGACGCGAAATTATTTATATGTTTTTTTCTTTTCTTAGTCATCTCTCGTATATAAAACATTTGAAACAATGCAGATGCAAATTGTTGATATTATATCTCAGAAAATATTCTTGTCTCTTCGCCTTTTCTTCGTCAGAATATTAATATGCAGTATTTATTCAATAATCGAACATTACTTGCCATTTTACATGACAACTCAATTTCAATTCGTGAAAGTTGGCACGTTAATCTAGATTCTAGGAGATTGTTAATTAACGGAGCATGTACATTAACGCGTTTACATATGTAGAACCATGTTACGCACATGCTGCTGCTATCGCTTGTCCGTCCAACTCCTTCCGGGACGCCGATTATCCGGAGCACCGAATAGACAGCGCGCGCTAAGATAACAATCTTTAGGTACTCGGAGCGCTTGTGTTGGCTGATTTATCTCTCGTCGGTGTATTTCGATTATGTACCGCATCGAACTGCCGAGTAGTTGAGGATTAGGATGCCAAATGCGATGAAGTGGAATAACAATTTAGATTTAGCTAATGCAGTTTTGGATTAGGCCTCCGAGATCGTTTCAATGATGCGTGGTTTGAAAGCCGGGGATTCATTCGGAAGATTAGTTGGATTGTTGGATTACAAATCTTGATTGCAATGCTATCGTAAGGAAGATGCATCGGATTACGATCGTATACTTCAGAATTTAGATTAATATAAATGTATACTGATGCTTATACTACACAAATGTTTCTGTCGATGATAATGACATATCTAATAAAACGGGAAGAAATGAGGAAAAGAATGAATAGGAGACGAATCATTTAATTTAATGATCTTTTAATTCAAATTGTTTTTGTAATCTTTATCAGAAAATTAATAAAAAATTATGTTGCTCTTTGTCATCATCATTACTTTTTTCTTGCAATTTCAGACTAATAAAGTTCTTGTTTTGAACGAATATTATATTATATAAAACTGAAATAAAATTAACAATCAACTGAATTTGTGTGTCTCTCATATAATAATAATTATTTTAATTATAAAACTAATTTTTATAATTTGTTTTATAACTCTTTACGTACCTACATTATGACATTTGGAAAATTTTAAATGTTAGAAGAAAGCAAGGAATATTTATGAAATAATAATCAATCTAAAACTTTAAAATTCAGTTCTTTATTGAAGTATAATACATAAACAGTACACTTTATTTTATAATTTCAACTTTTATTATCTGATGTAATTAACAGTTGCAGTGATAAAAAATATTTTTCGGCTGATGTACAATATGCAAATTTCGTAGCGCTCACATTTTATGCAGTGCTAAATATCTAGGCTGTACTAAATATTTGCTAATGTAAAGTAGTATAAATTTATTTTAATAATATACGCATGAATTTTGCGGTAATGTGTTTTAAGATAAAATATTCATACGTAGTACGTATTTGCGTGCAAGGTATATATTTTATTATGCCAACATTAAACGAAGTTTGAAAGCTACGAAATCTCGATGTTAAAATATTACACGGAAAACATTTCGAAAATGTAAACAGCAAAACATTCCACGTTGCAGTTCACACATGGCGAAACATTCCGCACCGCGAAATTATTTCAGGAATAATTATTTGAAAAACTATAATTATTATTAGCCAACGCTAAAAAGAATTCATTGCGATTCTGCCACAGAGAGTGGAATTTATGATCGCATTTACTTTACTTTACCGCAAACAATATCCCTTTATGCATTTAGTTTTTAATATCGATATGTGTGTACACACGATATTTCAGATATTTGATATTAAATTCACATACGATCGTTCTTCTCGTGTTCGCAGGTCGACCTGCAGCATCTTCTGCAGACCGAGGACTCGAATAAAATCGACGTCGGGATCGACCTGACCGACTATTACATCTCCGTCGAGTGGGACATCCTAAAAGTGCCTGCCGTGAGGAACGAGGCGTTCTACATATGCTGCGAGGAGCCCTATCCCGACATCGTGTTCAACATCACTCTGCGCCGCAAGACCCTCTTCTACACGGTGAATCTGATAATACCGTGCGTGGGCATATCCTTCCTGTCGGTGCTGGTATTCTACCTGCCGAGCGACAGCGGCGAGAAGGTCTCCCTGTCGATCTCGATACTCCTCTCGTTGACGGTGTTCTTCCTGCTGCTGGCCGAGATAATACCGCCCACGTCGCTGACGGTGCCGCTCCTGGGCAAGTACCTACTGTTCACGATGGTGATGGTGACCTTGTCCGTGGTCGTCACGATAGCCATACTGAACGTGAACTTCCGCTCGCCCGTCACCCACCGTATGGGCAAGTGGACGCGGATACTGTTCATCCAGGTGCTGCCGCGTTTCCTCTGGATCCAACGGCCGAAGAAGGACGACTACGAGGACGAGGATCAGGACAGGGACGGCGCCGGGATCGGCACGGGTGGCCTCGACGACGACGGCATCGACGACGACGACGAGGACGACGAGGACGATATCGAGGCGGCGAACGGCAAGCCGCCCGAGCCGAGCATCCTCACCGATGTGTTCCATGTTCCAGAGACTGATAAGTACGACACGTACTACGGCAAGAGGTTCAGCGGAGAGTACGAGGTACCGCCGCACGGTCTACCACCGCCGGCGACGAGGTACGACCTCGGCGCCGTCGGCACCGTCGGCACCGTCGCACCCTGCTTTGAGGAGCCCCTACCCTCGCTGCCACTGCCCGGGGCGGACGACGACCTCTTTGGGCCAGCTAGCCCTGGATACGCTCACGAGGACGTCAGCCCCACCTTCGAGAAGCCGTTGGTACGCGAGATCGAGAAGACCATCGACGACGCCCGTTTCATCGCCCAGCACGCCAAGAACAAGGACAGGTTCGAAGGCGTAAGTATGACATTTGCATATCTTTAATGTTCGCCAGTTTACTCGTGAGCTCGGGATAATGTTATCTGCACGGATAATGTTATCGTTAAGATGATACCGAAGAAAGAAATGCGTGATGTAAAATGGATATGCCGTAATCAGTTCTATTATGCTTGCGCGCACTCGTTCGTCGCAGCTATATTGCCTATATTGGATTATGACGTCAAAAGGCGAAAAATTATG